AGCCTTACAAGCAAACAAGTGTTAGGTATCTCACGGTGTCCGTTCAGATTCATACAGTAAGTTTGAATGGATACATAGTAGATACGGTCCAAATATTGTGCTTACAGTACGGCGTGAATCCGAAATAGGTGCAACTGCCCCGCATTTGATAGGAATTTGACGGTGTTGTCCACACGGTACGATATATCCAAGCATCGATGAACACACCAACAAGCTCCCCACAAAAATGTACATGTAGGTAAGGATTCCCAAGGTCTCTTCTTTTTTACCAAGCACCTGCAAGAAGTTGTCTTTTGATGACCAATTCTTCCATACTCACCTCCTTGTGGTCTAGGCATTGAAAGGATGATGACCTTTCTCTGTAAATCTGATACCAGGGCTAGGGCTGGACCGGGAAAGAGAGCAACCATTTAGGATAGGGTACAATCATCATCAGAAGGCAGGTTCGCCCGTCATGGGATAGTTGCCCGTCCTATAAGGCAAGAACGACCGCTATTCGTGGTTATCCACTTGACGTGTAAAATCTTTTGATGACACAAACTCAAGGGATTTATGACCCTGGCTCTTTCCTGTGAAAGACGGCCAGACAAGTTGAAGTTGAACGACAAGCAACAAAATGTCTTGGTTAAAATCTGGATATGCCCGGTATAATGTGATTATAATAGGATTCGTCTACAAAAAAGTTACTTGCAGGATTATATAGGTCATACGTCAAGGTTACTAGTAGCACACCTTTCCTCAACTCTCTGCCGCCAGGAACAATCGCGGCGGTGTCCGATATTGATCCTCTTTCGCCCGAGTTCAATAGGCCGAGAACAAAAACAACACACCGATGGTAGCTTCTCAGTAGGACGCTTCAGCCTTATGTGGTTACTCGATCTCAAGACAACTTCATTAACTTCATACAACGAAACTGAGACTCTCCTCCCTCAACAGCAAACCGAAACCTGCATATACCATGCCCATCGACATCAGTCATTTAAGAGACACGGTCTGTGGAACAAAGTATTTCCCAACCCGGTTCCACCCTTGATCCATTCATCTCGAAAGCATCCGGCATTCAACGGGTGCTTACCAAGGTCGAACGCCTCGTACAATTCCAGGAAAAGCTTCGACGAGGGATGGACGGTCCTACAAGATAACCAAATGAGACAAAGTATATTAGGCTTGCTTCCCCCGAAAGGTAAAGAGGCACCCTGAAATCAAGCTATAAAATTATACCCCATGTCAACCAGGGAAGAACAGCGAAGACGATGTCTCTGTGCACCCATCTACGGGTTCAACAGGTTGACGAAGGGTAAATCCGTGACCAACATGTCACACGGATGACAACCTAATAACCTGCCCACGGTACCTCAGGTACTCAGTCCGCATAACGGTTAGTTACAGGTAACGTGTGTGAGAGGGGAGCCAGCGTCGTTTGTCTTAGATGGAGATGAAGGGGTCGTCGTTGCTAAGATGACCACAACAGCCATGTTCCCTCTACACCGATACAAGTTTATACACGCATTATCCATATCTCATCAGGCCTAGCAACTCAACGCTACTCATCAGTCTGAGGTTTGGGATAATCGTACGGTTCGTACAGCAATCGAGCATCATTTGCAACTCCCAAAATTACGAGCTGGTGCACATGGTGCGATTCACCGAGCTCATGAAACGACGGGAAAGCTCAGTTGGTCACCATAACACCATAATTCGATGGGGCTCTTCTGGTCCGTCTCAACAATAAAACTTCACTCACCCAGCGTCATTTGATGTTTCAGTAGGGGCCGAAGTGGCACCTAGTAATTTCCGGCGAACCTGCTCCGTGCGTTCTGTGCGGCTCTGTGCGACAGTAGCTCCGCTCTCTCTGGGGCAAACAGGTTCGGTTTGGAAGTTTTTCTGTGACACCAAAGGTGAAGGCAGGGACAAGGTGAGCAAAAGCCGTACCTTGGCCTACCCTCGGTCGCTTGTATGAGAAGAAGAATGGCCAGAGGAAATTTCCCATCCAACTGGAAAATACAGGCACATCCACGCGGTGTAGGTAAATGAGCTCGTCCCACCACTTTGCTCTATTAGGTACGACATGTTGTGAGTGAGCATATTTGCTGGGTATTTTATGTAGGTCTATAAAGGGACCACTCTCGCCGTCTTGAAACGCTCACCCTACACTGTTCTCCGTCGTAGAAAGGTAACCGCTCCGTCTTCCTCCTCCTTCACCTGGTCGCTCGTTTTATACCTAATACAAAACCAAGTCACTCTTTAATTTTTTGTTCAATATTCAACATGGTCTCCAACAGAGTCTTGGCCGTCATCGGCCTCGTCGTGCCCGTCCTGGCGAACACGCCTCTAGGCTATGGATATGGGGGAGATATGGACACCAGTCTCCCATCTGCGATCATGCCCGTTACCGTGACGGACTCGATCACCCTGACCAAGTCTCTCACCCTCACCCAGACCAAAACGGTGACCCTATCCGTGGCGTGCACCTCGGAGACAGAGGCAGAGACGGCGTCGGAATCGTTGTTGACGGTGTCGGCGACCGAGACGAGCACAAGCAGCCAGGCGTCTATCATTCGCACCACCCTTACCAACAAGAGCACCCTCACCATTTCAGTTCAAGGGCCATCTACAAAGACTCTGACGGGGCCCGAATCGTACCCAACACAGTCGGAATCCGAGCTGGAGACGTCTACTACTACCGTCAGCGATTACACCACGGGGACGGCCGATGCGACCGGTTTTCCCAACGGCATGTCATCTCACGTCACGGCCTCGGTTCCCGCCGTGACCGTCACCGCTACTGGTAGCGGAGTTTTACCTCCTATCAACGGCACCACTACCTCGTGCGAGTCTGCTTATAGTAAGTTCACAGATATCGTCTCTTTTTACCACGAAACCATTTCAGATTCGAACTAACAGGCGTTACTTTAGCTACCGGCGACGTAGATGGCGTCACCGCCTCGGAAGACCTCTCCACAAGAAGCACAAGCACCCTCACCAGCACCTTGATCGTTTCCGTCCCCGTCCCCGTCTCCGTCTCCGTCTCCGGCCCCGGCGGTCGCAGCTCAGCCGTTGGGGGCGCCACGGGAACATCGGGTATCGTGGTTACGCACACTGCTTCTTCAAGCATTCCCTACCCTACCATCCCCACGTCGATGGGCCGGACCGCGGCAGACTTCAAACTCGTCGGTGTCGTGGGGTTGGGGGTGGTTTCCCTTGTCTTTGCATTCGCTGCTGGGTTGATTTGATTTGATCAGACCTGATCAGATCTGATCTTATCTAACCTAGACTAAGAGTTAGGGCAAGGTGGATTCGGGGTTGATGACAATATGTTTTATGTCTTTTACATTCTTCCACGACAACTCGTTTTAATGACAAGGGACAAGGTACGGTACGGTACGGTTGGGGAGGCCGGGGCACTTTACGAGATACAAATCATCCAGTTTCAAGTATTGTCAGTCATAACGTGCCTGGGCAGGTTTTAATAAATGTCCATCTATTCAATTCTTTTGAGGTATTGAACTACCTACATAGCGTACTTTGTTAATTATATCTTAACCTTGGGCTTGATGTTTCTGCTTTCAAAACTTTATAATGTGCATTTGTGGAGTTGACTTTTGCTCATTTTCGAAATAATGACACAAAACTCTGGTTACTTGGAGACTACGAGTAGGTATATCCGTCTTGATCAACTCTTGACGTGGATATTCCTGATCAGGAGGCTGTCTTTATGGAGGTGATGATATGTCGGCGTCATTGTTGTCAGATGTTGACATGGCGCCGGGAACCCAGTAGCTAAGGTACATAGGAAAAGTCGGCAATCGGCGATAGGTATTTTGTGGTTGCCAATGGTCTTGTAATTTTACAGTGCAGAAAACATCCGTCGGATGGATAACGGATGCGTAGTATATGGCTAAAAACCCTTGTGCAAGTCAGGATAGGACAGGACGGGCAAAGTACTCGGATGTAGCGGTTTACGCAAGTATAGATGTGGACAGCAGTCCATCAACCATGCGAGGTAAGCGTAGCGGCAAGCATTTTGTACGCTCCTCCAAGTCATACGGTGACGAACCTACCTATGTTGGAAAAACACCCACGATACATTGAATGTCGGCATAGGTACATACAACCATGAGAGCAGACGACTGACCACCATCGCCAATAACAATCAGACACAAAATAACATCTTCCTCACGCCACCACATAAAGTGCCGGAAACGCAATGAAAACGAGTTTTTCTTTTCCCTCAGGAAATAAAATCAAAAATTCTGGAGTCTGGGACACACAAGGCATCGACAGAAGGCGACGAGCAACCGCGCTGTGCAATGCAGGCTCGTAAAACAACCCTGAGGAAGAGGATTACTTGAGCCCTCTTCACTCCCTCCAAGGTAAGTATGAAGAAGAGAAGAAGGGAAAAGTAAGTAAAAAGGTGGGAGGGAGAAGGGGTTTATATAGATGGTTTGCGGGGCGGTGAGGGGTGGCAGAAAAGGTTGGGAGGGAAGGGACAGGGCTGACTACCTAGGTTAGGGCGGTGAATGGGAAATGGGAAATGGAAATCGGGAAGGGGTTATTGATTGATTGAACGAATGAAGTGGTCAATAGGGCAGGAACGATTGATAATGCGAGAGATTGTATTGACACTGTCTTCTAGCTAGGAAGGAGTAGGTTGTCCGGCTGCTGGTCTAGGCTACAACGTGAGCAAACTTAAAGGCAGGAGCAATTGAAAACAAGGTTTTAACTTTTACGATAGACAAACATTGGACAGGTTCTAGCATGATCTATGTACAAGCAACTAAATATAGGAAGTAGTTGACATTACCTAGGAAGGCCTAAATAAGGTTGCTACAACATAACATGTGTTTACAAGTACTGTAATATATGTCATGGGTTAATGATATCTGCAATTGAGATGAATGATGCAGGACAAGGCAACAATGTCTAGCATGCTACTTAAAACAATAGTCCCGCTCTCCGATCTCTCGTTATAAAGACTTTTAACATCCCTGACCATCAATGCCCTGGTAGCTCAATTGGTTAGAGCGTCGGACTTTTATATGTTTCTACTATTAACATGTCTGACATCCGAAGGCTGCGGGTTCGACCCCCGCCTGGGGCGCATCTCTCAGATTTTCTTTTGTCACTTTGTTTTTTTCCCTGCTGGTTGAAAACGTCGACGGTCCCCTGTAAACAATTTTTTAAGCTGTTGTTGGGGTTTATAATGGTAATAACGTCTAGATCAAATGTCCTCCGGGACAAACCAAGTCAATCAAACCACTTGGCTCACTGTGTTTAAACTTTAACGTCCTCTGGACTTAATCTTCTTATGGCTATTTGGTTTGATGCCTTCCTTGCGATGACTTCAAGCTCCGGTCTACGGAAGGAATGGCCCCTATCTCCGGGTCCGGTAACATTCACCAAAGGCTACCTACGGCCACATGATGTGGTAAACTCGCAATGACTTATTCAGTAACTACTTACCTACTGTTCAACGTATTCATCAGTCGGTCTCTGTGTGCAACAAAAATATTGCCATGCCTCATTATGGTCAAAATATTTACATGAAGAAGAGGTATCCATTTATTGAGTGTGCGTCGTGTCTGGAAGCTGAGTAGGTAGATGGGATCGGCCTAGGTTAAACCCTAGGTATCGTCCCGCCTTTCCTACTCTTCTTGATTTTGTTCATGCAAAAATATCCAACGGAAAGTTGTCGGCAATAGCCTGATATCCCGCAGGATTCGGATGTAAATGATCACCACCATCATATTCGGAAGCCAGAATAGACGGGTCAGACGGATCCGCCAAGTACTCGGCAAAATCAATAGTGGCGGCGAAACTACCATCACCCCCGGCTAATATCCACTCGTTTACGTCCTGTCGCGCCGCGTCGCGCGTCGGATCGCTGTACGCTTGGCCGTCCCCGCTGAAGGGCGTGATCGTTGCGCCAAACACGGTGATACCCGCTGCCTCGGCATCGGTTGCGATGGTCGTGAATGCGTCTTTCAACCCGTCTGCGATCCGCGTCTGTGTGCTCGAGTCGGGCGAGTTTCCGCCAATGTCGTTGACGCCCTCGAAGATGATGCAGTATTTTGCTCCCGCTGTGGTGAGGAGATCACGCTTGTAGCGTTGCGTCAAGGGAGGGCCGAGACCACCGGTCAGCACGGCGTTGCCGCCCGCGGCTTGGTTGACGACCGCGATGTTGGTTATGCCTTCTTCTTGCATGCGTGCTAGGAGGAGGTCGGGCCATCTTTAGGGAAGTTAGGTTAACCAAGCTCATGTCATTTCTGTGTTTTTGGGTTTCTGCAGTTGGTTGGTTGGGGCTCACCTGTTGTTCTCGTTGTCTGTACTGCCTCGTCCATCGGTGATGCTATCGCCGAGAATCACGAGTGCAACTGTCGACTGTGGCGCCCAGGCTTCGACTGCCGTTACGAAATACCAATGCTCGGCACTGGCCCCAGTCACGGTTGCGTCCTCCACATGGTTCCCCTCCTGCATCCATGATGTCGTGCGACTGCCCGGATGGCCCGTGATGCTCGTTCCCGATTGACCGGCTTCGGAGTATAGAGATACGGTAAGCATGGACTGCGAGGTGATGGCGAAGTCAACGGGATCCGTATAGACGACCTGGCCCTGCGGGATGGTGACGGATTCTGATCCGTTAAAGGTAAGCCCGATGAGGGTCTCGGTGTCGATGTCGCCTACACCAGCGGCGCCTCCGACTGGCAATGCTAGAGTCGCGGCTGTGATGGGCAAGGGGCTTCCGCCGAAGGTGTTGGAGATTTGGAGTCGGATTCTCTCGCCCCCAATTGACATGTGTAGCGTTTGGCGGAGAGTAGCATCTTGGAGAACGCTGGAACCACTCTACATGAAATCTTGTCAGCGACTATTTCCGATTCGCCTAGCCTGGGGACATTGGCTTACAAAGGGAGAAGGAGGCAAGTTAGCCGGCTCAACTAGTTGTGGCATAGAAGTCCACGTGGCCACCCAGTGGGAATCATCGTCTTGCCGTCTTTCCAACGGCGCTCCGATGATGCATGTTGTCCATAGCAGTAAGCATGTAGCTACGGAGAACAGCTTGTTTCTCGTACCCCCTAACATCTTGAAATATACCAATCAAGGACGGTAACGAAAAAATGTCAATGATTGCCAAAACCACACACCACGATCCCAAGACAACAAATCCATCGTTTCGATAGCGATTGGTGATATATTTATTTGTCCTGTTGCTAACCTACGGACCTACGTGTGTAAAGTAGTCAACGATAGCTGTTTGTGGAGATCTTTCTTCTTGAACACGACGGACCAGTAGCTTCCGTAGGAACTTGGGGAACATTTAGCCGCACCTACCTACTTTAGCTCTGCCTCATCCCGCCTTACCTTTGGCGCTCTTGCTCTTATTAGAAGTGTATGATCGTCTGAAGTTGGTAGGAGGGTTTTTAATTGGCGGAAGTTCTTTCCAGATTCTAAGCCTCTACAACATTTCAAGGTGAACGGTCTCGCCTCGGCACACGATTCACCAAAGAGGCAATGCCAGACTGTTTTCGGCGAGAAGGATGATGTTTTGGCTATAGGTATGTGGTTCCTTTTTGCCTGGTCTACCGCACTTTTTAAAATCCCCGTGCCGTCTGATCGGCGGAGGAAACTACTTATATACACAGTTTCCCACGTACGCGTAAAAGGGAGGGGGGGGGGATGTGTTACGTGTGGGTATATTGTATATCTTCTTGAGTATTACCTATCCCACTCCGTTGGGGTCGGGGTCGGGGTCGGTGTGAACTCGGGCGTCTTGGTGATCCCGATGGTAGCGGATTTCAAAGCATAGAAGACATCGTCAATAAAAACAGCGGTGAAGTTGTCCATATAGGTAGGTGAAGTCCATGTCGTGCCATCAGCACACCTGACACAATATGTAGTAGTAGTACATGTGCATTAACGTCCGTGTACTCCGACTCGTATGCAAGTCAAAGGTTGCCGGACCAGTGATACGAGGTTCAATGGCGCAAACATGCAACAGCCACTGCATTATCAGTTCCCTAAATGCAACAAGTAAGCAGGCTTATCAGGTACACACAGACCTGAATGATAGAACTGCAGATTCAGTGCTACCCGATCTACTTTTATACGGTAGGTAAGCTGCCGTCTCCTGTCTGCGACTCTGCTGTATCATGCAAACCAGGGCTTCTAGGGTAGGAGTGTTCGGACTTGTGGGCGGCTGGATGGGGGAATACTGGAATAAGGTAGTGTGGCATTGAGAGTTGGAGGTATTGATCCTATCGATACCAATACTGACATGGGTGTAGTAAGCTGTGAATGGGCAAACATGCCCCACCACGCGCCCAAGTACCCGCCTTGCCCCTCTCGGATTCTTTATAGATTTTGTCATTGACGTTAACCCCAACTTGGACACTACAGCTCCGTTTACCGGCGTCGAACCACGTTTGACTGCATCGCGAACACATTCTATTTAAGAAGTTCCACGGTTGAGTATCAGCTGAAATCATGTTCAACACCCTTACCGGCGTCCGTTTGATTCAAAAATAGAAGGAAAAAGAATCTGAAAGGTAGTATCTGACGTTATTTTCAGCTAGTCGACACCACCGCCTCAAGGTCTGGACGATAATATTGAGTTCTTACCTGTCGATCTTTTGGCGGATGCGGGTCACGCTAGTATCGAGTAACCAATTCACGAGCACAACAATCAAATGACAATGTGATAATACCGGCTAGTAATAACACCTATAACAGCATTTGCAGTAAATAATTCTATTGTGATTCAGTTTACAATAGTACCATTCATTCTATAGAGGTTTGGCTCTGATCCGAATTAAGGCTGGCCCACCTGAGCTAACTTTTTAGTCTACAGCTGTAGCTAGACGAAAAGTAGGCGGGACTACGGGTACGGGAGACATACAGACCATCCTTGGCTTTTGCCCCTCCATCAATAGAGAAGAGGAACGTCAACTTTGTCTCCAGCTTGGGAGCCGACGCAGGAGCTAGGACCCCTACATTAGGTACATACCTTGTCACCATGTCTGTCATTGAAAGTACACAGGTAGGTAGTGGGCAGTGACCAAACTTTTTTTCCCTACCCTTCAAACAAGAGCCCTTTGCCTGACTCATTGTTTTCTGTTTTCCCCATTGACATTTGCTTAATAAGGCGGGAAACTAGTCTTTCTATTGTTATTTAACATTTGGCTCGCCTGCTCTTGCTACATTGTTGCACTGACTAACAGCATTTTGATACCCTCTCGCACTTTTTTCGTCTGGAGACCGGCGCATACAATCGTCCAACCCCCCGCAGTCTCATAGGTACAGACCGGCCTCACTTTCAGGTCGATACAATACCGTACGACAGATTATAGTCGACGGGAACGCATATCCCTACTACGTTGCGGAAATTAGATCGATAGATCTTCCTTTCGTGTTAACGAGGGGACTAATCGTTTTTATACCTTGCGTCGACCAATTGGCCATTGAACTTTTGTTTGTCAACCATGCCGGGAGTCGACATGGAGCCGCTTAAGGCCGATGATATGAGAGGTATGTGGCGTCTTGTCATATTTTCAGACTATTGTTTGTTCTGTCAATGCCTGGTTCCCGCATTGTTGGGATGAATGGCAAGAACTACAATACATGGGATCAATGGGGTCAATGGGGTCAATGGGATCATAGTAACCATTGAACCACGACCATTGAAAACCATGGTCTTGCCATGCCTGGCTCGAGGAAATTCGTCTATATAACCAACCCGAGTACACCCTGAAAAAACCACTTCCATCATTCTTTCAACCTTTCTTATATACTAGTATTACTCGTTACAGAAACTTCAAGATGCTGATATATAACGACGAACCTTCAGTTCTGGGACAGGATCCCCTGATCCCCCCTGCTCTCCTTTTGTCCGAGATCCCCATGACCGATGCATCACTCCGAACGGTTGTTAAGGGCCGCCGTGAGGCTGTGAACATCATCATGGGTCGCAGCGACAAACTCCTGGTCATCGTTGGCCCTTGCTCTATCCACGACCCTGCCATGGCACAAGACTACTGCCAACGTCTAAAAGCCCTGGCCGAGAAGCTCTCGGATGACCTGTGTGTCATTATGCGAGCTTACCTGGAG